AGACTATTGGCTGATCCATATAGAGGTTCCTAACATTGTTCTAAATGTCTCTTCCCCCAGTTCCTCCTACCCTAAAGGATCTGAAAACCAGTCACCATCCTGAGATACACACTCTTGCCCAAGCAACTCCCAACAACAACAAAGGAGCCCCAAGTACTGTTAAGAAATATGCATCATCCTTCTCAGCATGGCAGAAATTGGCAGAAGCTAGAGACATTAATGTCCTCCCCACATCTCATCCCAAGTAAGCATGTTACCTTGTACACCAGTTGCAGACAACCAAATCACTAACATCCATCCAGGCAGCAGCTTTTGGGGTGGCATGGGCCCATCAAAAGGCTTGCTTCCTTCGCCCTTACAGCACACCATGGTGAAACAGCTCCTTGAAGCATGCAAGCGCATCCTGGGTATGTGTCCTAAAAACAGAAAAACCCCACTCACAGCAGCCCAGGTCAAGGAATTGGTGCTCCAGTTTGGTGGGGGAAATCCTGGCGAGCTTCAGATAGTATGTCTCATTGCCCTGGGTTTCACAGCATTCCTTCGTTGGGACGACCTCAAGGACCTGAGATGCCATAATCTGCATATGACAAGTGACCACATGTCCATTGCAGTAACCACAAGGAGAAACAACCAATTCAGAGAGGGTTCTGTCATCTCGGTGGCTCGTACAGGTTCTCATGTATGCCCTGTATCCTTGCCCAAAAGATTTTTACTTGTTGGCCAACATAAGGAATCTGACCATCTTTTTAGGAAGATTTGCCACACCAAACATGCGATCTCCTTTCATCCGCAACAGTTGACTTACTCAAGGGCCACCGAGCTGTTTAAGAAGCAACCCAAAGTCATCGGGCTTGACCCTAAGCAACATGGCCTACACAGTCTCAGGTCAGGCAGAGCATCCTCTGCAGCAGCTGCCGCCATCCCAGATAGGCTCCTGATGCGTCAGGGGGGCTGGCGGTCACAGAAAGCTAAGAGCATGTACATTAAAGAAACTGAAAAAGTCCTTCTGAGGATTTCTAGAGCTCTGTTTGTAAAGAGGAACGGTTATGTCGCTAGTCCTGTGATATATTAGTTGTTTTCTCTCCAGTTCTTTTGAGATTCTACACCTAGCTTGGCTAGTTTTCCCATTTTTTCCCTCGTTTCGTTCTTTTTCTATTTAAAGTCCATCAACAGAGCCGATCTGTAGAGGACTCATGTTTTAGTCAATTTTTAAAGCGAGTGACATTTTTCCTAGGCTCTATACTTTTTCCTCTTGTCAATAAAGTGCTGTTGCATTATCGTGTGGCAGACAAATGGCACTCAGTGTGTGAGAAATGTTTACCCTGCCAGCTGAGCTCACGAAAGAGGCGGGAAACGAAGTTCTCTCACACTGAATGGGGGACCTGGGTACAAGTCAGGATGCCAGTTTCNCCCACTCACAGCAGCCCAGGTCAAGGAATTGGTGCTCCAGTTTGGTGGGGGAAATCCTGGCGAGCTTCAGATAGTATGTCTCATTGCCCTGGGTTTCACAGCATTCCTTCGTTGGGAGGACCTCAAGGACCTGAGATGCCATAATCTGCATATGACAAGTGACTACATGTCCATTGCACTAACCACAAGGAGAAACAACCAATTCAGAGAGGGTTCTGTCATCTTGGTGGCTTGCACAGGTTCCCATATATGCCCTGTATCCTTGACCAAAAGATTTTTACTTGTTGGTCACCATAAGGAGTCTGACCATCTTTTTAGGAGGATTTGCCACACCAAACATGCGATCTCCTTTTGTCCACAACAGTTGACTTACTCAAGGGCCACCAAGCTGTTTAAGAAGCAACTCAAAGTCATTGGGCTTGACCCTAAGCAACATGGCCTACACAGTCTCAGGTTGGGCAGAGCATCCTCTGCAGCAGCTGCTGCCATCCCAGATAGGCTCCTGATGCGTCAGGGGGGCTGGCAGTCACAGACAGCTAAGAGCATGTACATTAAAGAAACTGAAAAAGCCCTTCTGAGGGTTTCTAGAGCTCTCTGTTTGTAAGGAGGGACGATTATGCCGCTAGTCCTGTGATATATTAGTTGTTTTCTCTCCAGTTCTTTCAAGATTCTACACCCAGCTTGGCTAGTTGTCCCCTTTTTTCCCTCGTTTCGTTCTTTTTCTATTTAAAGTCCATCAACAGAGCCGATCTGTAGAGGACTCATGTTTTAGTCGATTTTTAAAGAGAGTGACATTTTCCTAGGCTCTATACTTTTTCCTCTTGTCAATAAAGTGCTGTTGCATTGTCGTGTGGCAGACAAATGGAACTCAGTGTGTGAGAAATGTTTTCCTGCCAGCTGAGCTCATGAAAGAGGCGGGAAACGAAGTTCTCTCACACTGAATGGGGGACCTGGGTACAAGTCAGGATGCCAGTTTC